AGCTGCCAATAAAGTCAAAATGTTATAGATCTTTGACTCATTGGCTTTTTGGCCCATTGAGAAATAAAGCAACGATCTTTAAGCTCCCTGCTGCCTACTCGGAAGAATTAAAAATTTTAATACAAGTTTAAAAATAGTTTAATATAAGTTTAAATTGCTAAAAAATAAATTACAAATAATTTTATAATTATAAATATAAGTTTAATATAATTAAAAATGTAAAAAAGGAAAAAAAATTAGACGAAAAACTCATTGGTTCATGACCCACGGGTCGTGTCGGGTCAAACCCGCGCTCGCACCTACACGCGTCATGGGCCGGGTTGAGTTCAGTCCTAGACTTGCCGATTTCAAAGAAGAAGGCCATTCTGATTCTGTCGGGCCCAAGTTAAGCTCGGCCTAGCCTTGAACCCGACGGGTCGGGTCACAAGCCTGAACCGGCCCAGCACACGTCACCTTAAGCCTCTGTTCCCCGATGCTTAATTTTAAAAGTTATTATTTCAAACAGGGTTACTTTAAGGTAGGAGAAGTTTAAGCCTTTTTTAACATGACACTCCAAAGCTTATTTTTTTTGCCAAAGATAAATCCAAAATTTTAAAAACGTTTAATTTTGGTACCAAATTAAATCATTTTACGGTATCATAGTGAAATGATCTTTTGGAGTGCTTTCTAGCGAAAAATGGGTATCAAAGTTATAATGGTAAACTTTAGCGTATCTAAGTACATAAAACCCTTTCATATTGAAGACGTGTTTCGTGATTGTAATTAACTTCTATATTGTTAAAAGTGTTTTGTGAGTTTTCTTATTTGATGTGATTAACTATCTAAATAAATTCGTGGTCACTTTACATCCACTTGCTCAATAAGAAGAATTTTTCAAAACAGACCCGCTTCAACTTTTTTTTCTTAAAACCGACCCGTTTTTTTTTATTTATCAAAACCGACCCGATTTTGTAATTAGCAGCTTAATCACATTCCTAAACAGTCGGGGTTGGCAACCCCGACTATTTAGGACATTAATTTTTAGGGTTTAAGGCTTCTAATTAGGGTTTAACACCTTCCTAAATAGTCGGGGTTGCCAACCCCGACTGTTTAGGTTGGTGATTAAGCTGCTAATTACAAAATCGGGTCGGTTTTGATAAATAAAAAAAAACGGGTCGGTTTTAAGAAAAAAAAGTTGAAGCAGGTCTGTTTTGAAAAATTCTTCGCTCAATAATATTCAAAAATATTCGCTGAAAAAGGAAAACGTTAAAAGAGTTGGTGTGAGAGAGCAGCAGTTGATCAGTGGTCCAAAACTAGTCATAAACCAGGCGTTTTTATTTTCTTTCTTTTTCTTTTCTTTTTTCCCCGTGGGTTTAATTCATGTGAATCCTTCACAACAAAAAGGATTAAGATTAATGACTATTTCCTCGCAATTTCAATGATGTGGATCCCTATTTCCATATCTTCTCTCCAATAACCTAAAGCCCCGTTTGGCAAAGGGTTAAGGAAGATAAGTTAAAGAGAATGATTAATGTATTTAGCTCATTCGATAATCCGAAGGACTAAATTATTAACCCATTAAATTAGTTTTATTTTAACCCTTGTGATCAGTTTTAGTGTTTGGAAATAACAATGATTTTAACTATTTTCTTTATAATTAGAAGAGTTAACTCTTAATCCTTCTAAATACGAGTATCAGTAAACCCCTCATTTTGAAGGGTTAACTCATTTTAATCCCTCTAGAGGGGTTAGCTTAACACTTCCATATTTTTTATGTTTGGCAAATTATAAAGGGTTAACTCACTTTAACTCTTGTATAGATTTTTTGTGTTTGGCGGGTTAAGAAGGAGTTAAGTCTCCTTAACCCCTCACTTAACCCTTTGCCAAACGGTATCTAAAGTAGCTATAATCTCTTTTCGGACGAACCATAAATTATAAATTTTATCCTATACCCTTTAAACAAATACCAAGTACTCCTTCAAGACTGTGGAGTCAATAACTCCATAAAAGGACTTAATAGGAAGAAAACTCTGGGACGACATTCTATATTTGTATCTTCAGCAAACGATTTAAGTTTGTCTTAACACAATTCGATCATGTTAAATCCTGCCATTCATTTTCACGAGCTGGCTACGAATGAAATCGTTACAACGAGCTCCCAACTTCTAAAAAATGAAAATAAAATAAAATAAAATCAGAGCTTTGCTAGTTTGGATCCAAGTAGCAATGGTTTAAATTGATTATGAGGATGAAAAAGCGTCGGCTGTTTCCATAATTGAAGTCCTGCGTTTGGGGTGGTTGAGGCATCAATTCTACGTGATCAAGCGTAACTTAATATTTATCAGATTTTATGTCATGATTAATGTTATAATACATATAAACCTATTAACATAATTCTACAATCTATTGCACGGCATCAAAAGTGGTTTGGATAAATTCGGCATGTTCACACTATGCGAAGGGATAAATAATAAAATATAGGGTTATTCCGATATTAGCCTCCCAATTTTCAGTATTTCGATATTAGCCCATCAAATCTTTGAAATTGATCTCAACCCCCCCCCCCCCCCCCACACACACACGCCC